TAATTTTGTAAATACCAAACTTAAAGACTCGCAACTATGCCACTACTAAAATGGCCTAACAGGAAAAACTATAATGATGTAGCCATTAAGCTAATATTTTCAACACATTCTTAGTTCAGTCTTTGTCAACAGCAATGGCTCTTGCACCACATTTCCTAATCGTACCACAACTAATTGCAGCAATCTGATACATATTGATTTTACAGAAGATAACATTTGAAAAGGCACTATGCAAACTAAAACCATCTCTATCTATATGTCCTGATGGATTATGTGCCTTCTTCTTGAAAAAGCTCTCCACTGCCATAGCTGAACCACTAAGCACAATCCACGAGATATCTTTTAGAACCAGCTCTTTGCCCGACTTATGGTCAATAGCCACAGTTATTCCTATCTTCAAAAAGGGAGAGCCAGCTTAGTTGAAAATTACAGCCCTACTAACAATTTGGTTTCAGGAAAAAATTATCCTGTAATCTACAATTCCTACACTGCAGAAACATTTGGACTACACAATTTGACCAGGGTAAAGCAATAGATGCAATTTACATAGAGTTCTGCAAAGCCTTTGATTCAGTGGTACATGACAAACTACTATTAAAACTACATTCTTATGGCATTTCTGCATTACTGCACAAATGGATAGTTGCATTTCTGTCAAACAGGCAACAAATAGTCAAAATAAGGAGTGCCCTATCAAACCCTGCACCAGTTAACAGCAGTGTCCCCCAAAGCGGCTTTATAGGACCCACTCTCTTTCTAATTTACATAAATTTGACCTTTGCGAACTATGCCACCTATGGTCAGATGTAAGCTTAGTACACAAATTGTCTGCTACAATGTCGTACCTGTCAATGACTACAAGTGTCAACAGTACCCAGTAAAATTATCTTCCAACAAGTATCCTGTACTGACAATATAAATAAATTTCATATGGGTCATCTAAAAGCCAGGGTCTTACTAGGGGGAGACTTTAATGCTAGATTGGGACCAGATGATAATACACTATATATGAAATATCATAATTATCCATCATCAGAGGTTCCCATAAGAACCAGATCCTCCCTCACGTGACTTTCTAAAGACAATAGAGCAAATTTCACTGGCCTCTGTTTTGCAAAGATGACAAATAAACTCAACCTTTTTATATCTAATGGCTCTTGGGCTGGCAACTATCTTGGGGGGATTGCATTTATAGCAGAGTCCAAAACCAGCACCTTTGATTATATCCTAATTTCTATGGACTTACTACATTATGTAGAAAATTTTGAAGTCCTACCTTACCTGGAAAGTGATCATCTACCTTTGTGTATATACATGAAGCCCTTCATCGGGCAGATGCCCTTTGGGGACCAATTTATTCCTGCAATTTCTCTAGCAGGCCCAACAAGATGTAGGGTAAAATTTATTTATTTATTTTATTTATTATTTGTTTGTCAAGCATGTTTTAAATAACATATAATTGGAAACATGATTATGAGTACATGAAATGGGTATGGATAACAGGGACTAACCTTAAAACAGGGACGGTAGGCAGGTTGGTGCTCTTATGCATGCCCCTTACAGACTTCTTAGGCTTGGGGTGAAGTCAACAGTAGACAGTCTAAGGTTAAAGTTTTGTGGGTTTGGGAAAGAGACCACAGAATCAGATAGTGCATTCCAGGCAATGACAACTCTGTTGCTAAAGTCGTATTTTCTGCAATCGAGTTTGAGCGATTTACCTTAAATTTGTATCTATTGTGTGCTTGTGTGTTGTTGTGGTTGAAGCTGACGTAGTTATTGACAGGTAGGACATTGTAGCAGATAATTTTATGTACTATGCTTAGGTCAGACCGAAGGCGGTATAATTCTAAGTTGTTTAAGCCCAAAATTTAAAGTCTGGTGGTATAAGGTATTCTGTTATGAGCAGAAGAATGGAGGACTCTTCTCATGAAATATCTCAGGATTCTTTCAATTGAATTAATGTCTGATATGCAGTGCGGGTTCCAGAGAGATGAGCTGTATTCGAGAATTGGTCTAACAAATGTTTTGTATGCTCTAGTTAGCAGTACAATATTACCAGAGAAGAAGCTATGCAATATTAAGTTAACAACTCTTAATGCCTTTTTGGCAATGTTGTTATAGTGGGCTGTGGCACTTAGATCATTAGAGATGAGTACTCCAAGGTCCTTGACAGAATGTGGGTCTTCTACAAGGTTGTGTCCATCCAGCTTGCATTTTATGTTCTGATTTTTCCCCAATGTGTAAGACAGAGCATTTGTTGGTTGAGATTTGAAGTTGCCACTTGTTTGACCATTCTGATACATAGTCAAGGTCTCTTTGAAGGGTAGCAGTATTGTCAGTGTGTTGAATAGTTTTACATCATCAGTGAAGAGAATGCAGTTGCTTTTAATATGATCACAAAGGTCATTTATGTAAAGTATAAAGAGTGTTCGTCTTAAAACACTGCCTTGGGGACTCTGCTGTTAACAGGTACAGGATTTGACAGGGTGTTCCCTATTTTGACCACATTGCCTGCTTGACAGCTATCCAATTATGCAGGGGTCCAGAAATGCCATAAGATTTTAGTTTTAGAAGTAGTTTGCCATGTACAACTGAATCAGGCCTTAGAGAAGGCTATGTAAATTGTGCCTATTGCTTTGCCCTGATCGAGTTATGTAGACCATATGTTTTTGCAGTGTAGGAGTTGCAGATTACAGGATAATTTTTTCCTGAAACCAAATTGTTTCTTAGATGGTAGGTTATTTGACTCTAAGTGAAGGGTAATGGATTGGTTAATGATGGATTCCATGACTTTGCAGGTGATGCAACATAAAGAGATTGGTCTGTAATTTTCAACTAGGCTGGGCTCTCCCTTTTTGAAGATAGGGATGGCCATGGCTAGTGACCATAGGTTGGACAAGGAGTTGGTCCTGAAAGACTTTTCAAAGATTATGCTTAGAGGTTCCTCTATGGCAATGGGAAGCTATTTTAAGAAGTAGGCACATAGTCCATCAGGTCCAATGGATAGAGATGGCTTTAGATTGCATATTGCCTTTTCAATGTTGTCTTCTGTAAAATCAATATTTATTAGATCGTTGTAATTATTTGAAAATATTGGGCATGAGCCATTGCTACTTATTATTACACATATTGACTGCTGCCAGGATCGCCTTTGCCCAATGTTGGAAACAGCCATATACATCCATAGAGGAATTGGTTATACAAAAAGTTATGAATTATGCTGAAGTGGATAAATTAACACTGAGTTTAAAAGATAAGGAAGCTTCAATATTTTATAAGGTATGGGAACCATGGTATAGCTGGATAGATCGGAGACAGATTAAGGATAGGTAATTATTAAATATAGAATATAGTTAGAATAAGAATATAATTATGCACAAATTAATACCTGTAAATATTGCACAAATGATTGCTGTATGATAAGCACCACAAAGAGTTATTGAGTAATATATTTTTTATCTTTTTAATGTAATAAAAATTCAATAAAGTTTGCTTAAAAAAAAAAAGAAATAGGGGAAACAAAATAAAGAAGATATGTTAAAAGAGATAAGTAAATATTATGACTAGTATGTTGAATATTATTAAGTTAACATTGTAGAATTAATATGTGGAATATTATTATGTTAAAGATTGCAGAATTAATATTAATTTAACAAAGGATGTTAAACAAACATGTTTGTTTTTATTAAATTTAGATAAAGACTAATGGGTGACACAGAAGCCCATAAATGTATAAATGAATATAAATGAAATATAATTCCTTTTATGAATATAAAGAAAAGGAAAACAAGCCTTTTCCAATGTGGTGCTTTCCAGATGGGTTAGGGTGACAATCCCCAAATTCTTAGAAAAGATGGGATTTTAAGCCAGTAGTGAGCAGGGTTATGGCCCAAATGAGCAAGCCAACTCTACTGTTGGTGATGTATTTACATATCTCCCTCATGTGCTTCTCGAGCAATACACTTAGCCCAGCAGGAGCCATAACTCTTAATACAAATAGTCCTCAATTTATAAACATTTATTTAGTGACTGTTTGAAGTTACAAGTATATTTTAAAAAGTGATTTACAACCAGTACTCATACTTATAACTACTGCAGCATCCTCTTGGTCCCATGATCAACTGGCATATATTTACAACAGTTGTACAGTAGCATTTGATATGATAAACAGAGAAGTACAACAGTTGTGGTGTCCCAGGGTGATTGATCCCAATCTGTTACCATCCAGTGGGCTTCTGATTTAAATTCAGTGGGGGAATTCACTTCATGATCATGTGATTTGTTTAACAACCATGGCAGAAATTGGGCATGTTTCACTTAACAATGCCTTGTTTAGTATTAGAAATTCTGGTGCCAATTGTAGCCACAAGTTGAGGAGTACTTGTACTTTGACAACTGTTGTTTCTTCTGTCAAGCAAATATTATAATAGTCTTGTTTTCCTTTCTTCAATCTCACAAAAAGGTGAGACATTCAAAGTTGAGTTTTTTCAGCCGTTAGATTTTTCCTGAGTTTTAATTCTTCTGTTACTAGTTTTCCAGAAGCCCATCATTTCCCATCTCTGAACCCAAGATATCTGACTTGAGATCCATTCTGCTATGTATATCCTCACCTAACTGTTTCTTACAGTTGGGATCTATCTAGATGTTCTTTGGTGACCATAGTAACAGCAGTAAAAACCTGCCCACTCCTGCTCATATTACCTCCTGCCAACAGTTTTACCTTCTGGAAGGAGATATTTTGGATTAATTAATAAGGAGGTATAATGGAAGAAAGATAGTTGTACTGTGATTTGTGTCATAATACATGGCTGTGAAGTACATGAATATGAGAATTTCTATGGATATGGCAGAGATAATCTATTTGTATGAATAAGTGTTTCCACCTCCTTCACTTATCTTCATGTTATTATTGTAAGATCTTTGTCAATCTGGTACAAATCCAACATTAAAGCATAGCAATTTCTCAATAATTTCTATTTGCTTTATTTCAGAGAATAACAATGGCAAGTAAGAAGAAAGAAATTCAGCTACAGGTATCTTGTTATTCTATTAGTTCAATTACCCAACTGTTCTTTAGATAAGCAAATAAATTGAGGAAATAATGTTCTCTGTATGTTTTTACTAAAGGCTGTAATACTCAATCAAACACAATGGGATGAGATGCTGCTAAATAAAGGTCTAACAGGTACTTTTTATCTGTCTCTGTATTTCTTACATATTGTTTACATGGCACATGTTTACATGGCACATATTGGCACATGTGTGTTTCATTTTGTGTACCAAATGCAGGCCATTTGCAAGTACATGCTTATTATAAACTTGGAATGGAACCTCCACCACCACCACCACTACCACTCTTGGTAATTTAAAATTAACCAAAGCCATCCCTGCACTCCCAGCCATTTAAATTCTAAAGAGAAATTTCTGGCCAACTCAAAGAAAACTTTGCTAAACTTAATTATCAACAGAGCTAGAACAAGAAAAGAAAGGGATACAGTTTTTCCCCTGTGTATCATTATTACAATCTCCTGGAGTTGGTTATTTTAATTTTAAACAGATTAGATACAAATATATATTTTAGAAAGCTCACATGTACTTCGTATGTCAAGTATCTACAGTGCACATAGAATAAAAAAGGTAGCATAGACAGGACAAAATAAAACAAAATACAATTCCTGAACTCACAAGGGACCTGAAAATTTAATATATTTACGTGCTTTTTAAACGAGTATTTAAATCGAAATTCCCTGTCAACAAATGGCCTTACTATGCTCCTAATTAACTCTGCAACTTTGTCCATTTTCAATTTTCCCTCCCTTTAATACTGATTGACTTCTCCTTTTGGAATTAAATTAAGAAACTCTGGCATAATGTGTAATTTTTCAAATCAATGTGATGCTGGAGAAAGCAATTGTTGGAGATTTCATCATTTATTTTCACTAGTGAGCTGTTTTGACAACTAGGGGAAATGATGAGAAACAGGTGAGAGGAAGGGTCTTCACACACCTTGCTTGATTTTGCCTGGCCTGTTTTTACAGTAGTTATATGCACCTCTTACTTAACAAATGAGAAAATCTTGTTCCAGTCTCTCTTATTCTTAGGCTTCCCTCTTTTCAAGTCCTAGATTAGATAGAAATTATTTCTTAATATATCTTAAGAAATATTTTAATTCAAACAGAATGAATTCTTCCAGCATTCATTGACAATGGGGCTAAATCCATGCTGTGCATCCAGGACAATATTATGCGCATTTGATTTGTTTTACAATCTTGGTATCCTCTCCACATTCTCTATATGCTCAAAAACCCACCTTCTAAGAAAGGCTTCTGCTGATTTCAAATCACCAAACCCATCACTACAGTCCCAATCCCTTCATTGTCAAAGAGAATTTTCTGCCTGACACAAAGGAGAACTAGAACAAGAAGAGAGAACATAAGGTCTCCCCACCATCATTATTACAATCTCCTGGAGTTGGTTAATTTTAAACAGATTAGATACAAATATATATTTAACCTCTAATCTGAGCATTAAACCTCTTATGCAGCAGCCAGTGCCTAATCTAGTTTAGACTTGACAGTGTTGATTAATTGCATAAGACAAAATGTCAAGATCCTAATGAGTACTTGATAGAATTCTGTAAGATTCTCTGATAGTGCTTGACAACTTGATAACTTTGAGATATGTGGTCTTCAACCACAGAATTCCCCAACCAACATGCTGGCTGGGAATTCTAGGAGTTAAAAATCTACAAATCTTAAAGTTACCAAAGTTGAAAAATACTATTCTAGAGCAACCTCAAGATGTATCAAATCTGTTAATCTTTTTTTCATTTCTTATCTTGGAGAAAATAATCAAGTGATATGATTGTAGGAAATTCTGGGAGTTGAAGACTACACATCATAAGTTGTGAAGACTGAAAAACACCAACCTAAAGACAAAAATAAGATAAAATTTAAATTAATTAACCTCAGCCAATCTTCTCTCACTTGAATTTTGTCTTTTGATTGGGACTTCTGAGTATTTTTTCTTTTTTCCTTGTTTAATTTCCAGGTTCTGCAGACTAAAAAAGTTATAAAGACCATGCTCTAGATATATTGGATTATTTAGTCCAACATATCCTGAGATATCCATTTTAAAAAGAAGATATTCTGGACATAATAAAGCAGGAAAAGTTTTAATCTCCACTAAAATATGCATTGCCTTATGTTAAGGAGGAAATGTGCAATAAAGAATTGCATTTATTAGAAGATCATTATTAAGCCTAAAGCTTATCCTTGGTGTAGGGTTCATTATTAAGCCTAAAGATCATTATTAAAGATCATTATTAAAGATCATTATTATTAAGCCTAAAGATCATTATTAAGCCTAAAGCTGATCCTTGGTGTAGGGTTTTGAAGAATTGCAAATGGATCCTTTCTGTCCATTATTGATGTATGATTTTTGTTTTCTGGAAATCTTAATACATTATTTTAATTTGAGATCATATCCATATTTTGTGTATAAGTAAGGGTTCCAGCAAATATATCTGTATTATTAATTTTTAAAAATAGGGATTTATATTGTGTGTCTCTTTTATCAGTGGTAGATATTTATCAGGCATGGTGCGGACCTTGCAAAGCTGTAGTAAACTTGTTCAGGAGGCTAAAAAATGAATATGGTGAAGATAATCTTCTACATTTTGCTGTGGTAAGAATCTGGATAACCAGCTAGCTTTTTCAAAACTAGCACCCTCCCTAAAAATTGGATTTCACTTCCCATACCTCTAAGCAAGTGCATCCAAGAGCCAATACATCAAAGATGACTAGCTTGTGGGAAGCTACTAAGTACTTTCTCATGCTAAATATTTTGGAGAAGCACAGTTTGTGATATTAATACCTCAACTGACCAATGTAGTCTCATTTTGACAGAGAGATTATTGAAAATATTGTCATTAAAAATCCCATAACAAGCTGAAATTGGGAAAAGAAATTTAGATGTCATCATGATGATCAAGTGACAAAGATATCGATTAAACATCCAAATTTAATAAATTTAGTCCATCTAATGAGTAACACTAAAAGCTATTCTTTATGATTTGGACAAACAAGAAATGGACTAAAACATGGCTTCTTATTGATATATAGATTTTGAAACTTGAGAAAGCTGAAAGAGTGAGATGTACAGAAGAAAGTGAATGGTTTTAAAGAAATAAATACTAGAGGTTAGCCTAGATTTACAAGGATTTCAATGGATGTATCATAATCATACATATATTATCCAATCTAAAATGATTTAAAGCATTTAGAAATATGTGGAATTCTGATTTACCCATAATTAAGTTGTTTTACTATGATTAGGATAGCAAAATTAAATAGCAAAAGAGCAGATTGCTTATTCTTGGGTAGTTCAACCATACCCATTTCTTTAGCTTTGTATTTTTAGTGGCAATTACAATGAGATTAATTTTCATTGGGATCTGCAATAGAAATAAGAAAAAGAAGCAGCAGACTAAACCAAAACTCAGTAAATAGGACTAACAAATAATGACTACAAAAAATCAAGGTGATCGATAGATAGTTCAAATAATGATTTTATATATCTTTACTTCCATCTACTGGGCTAGATATTGCAGCCCAAGTTCTAGTAAAGCTATAATAAACCACAATAGAAAATCATATGGTAATTGTTACTGTACAATATGATTTAGGAGAAAAATATAGCAGATATATTTGTGTGTTATTCATTTAAGGCAGAGGCTGATAGTGTGATGACCCTGCTCCCATTTAAAGATAAATGTGAACCTGCTTTTGTCTTCTGTCTGGTAAGTGCACCATGATGGGGATTGGAAAAGAGCTTTGCATAGGGTTAAATGTGCGTAATAAAACAAGCTTTTTTGAGTCATGATGAAATATACAAAAGGAGGACAATAATTCAAAATGGCTGGAATCTTCTGAATCATGTATTTCTAAAACTCTATATGAGAATATTTGTGCATACAAATCCTTTTCTATTGTTATACCCAGTGGTGTTTCACAATTCTTATAAACTATGTCATCCCAGCCCTTATTCCATTGCCTTTGGCACAATAATTCCAATAAGAAAAAGATTTCAGAGAAAAAAAATCCTGAAATAATCAACAAAGAATGATTTCATGTATAATTCAGGGTGGTAGATATCATCTTTAGAATAGAATAGAATAGAATAGAATAGAATAGAATAGAATAGAATAGAACAGAATAGAATAGAATAGGAATACCTTTATTGTCATTTCATTCTACAAACACAATGAAATTTGAAAGCTACTCCAGCAGTGTCCCAAACACCACATCACAATCACACTACAAAGTATTTAAAAATTAAAATAATTAAAATAATAATTAAAAACCTAGTCTAAAACCTATCTAAAACATATAGTAAGTTAGATAGTTTAAAAATGGCACTATATACATAGGGCTAAATCACATATACATTGTTTGATTCAAGACAATTATTGCCTTGGAAAAGAAACTGTTTCTCAGTCTATTAGTCCTCATTTTAAGACACCTATAATGCGTCCCTGATGGTAACAGTTCAAAATATGAATGTCCAGGATGAGAATGGTCTCTGGAAATTTTTAGTGCTCTAGAGAGGAGTCTGGTCTTCACAATCTCTTCCAAAAAAGAAAGAGAGCAACCAATGATTTTTTTGTGCTGTGTTTATAACTCTCTGGAGCATCATCTTATCCACTGCAGAGCATCCAGCATACCACACCGTTACACAGTATGCCAAAATGCTCTCGAGGTAGAACGGTAAAAAGTAACCAGCAACTTCTCACCCAGACCACTCTTTTTCAGCAGCTTCAGAAAGTGCAGGCGCTTCTTTGTGGTGGCCATTTCTGACCACCACTACAACCACCTTCGGGAAAGGGAGTAATGGCCAGTTGGGGAGGAGAGATGTGGCTCTCCTCAACCCTGCAGGCAGTCTCCCCCTTCTTCACCACCTCTACGGGGTGGCTTAGCCCTGAAACCAGCCGGCTCGGGGTGCTCCAGCAGCGAGCACGGATCGAAGCCTCGCAGAGACGAGGTTTCGGTCTGTCGCCGAAGAAGCTCGACTGGAAAAGAATGTGCAGGAGGAAGATAAGAAGGGAAAGTTTTGGTTGACCGGGTCAAACAGCAAAAGCAACAAATAAGGTACCCTGGAATTTAAAGTTAATAACATTGTTCCCAAAGAAGATTTTGAAGCTGCGAAGGAGAGAGAGAAGGGAAAGGATTAGGTTTTTTTTTTTCTTCCCTTCCTTATACTGACAGCTAAGAGACTTAGGCAAGAAATTGAAAAAAAAAATCCACTTTGACATTAATAGGCATCTAAGCTGAAAATAAAAGTCAAAGAAATAATAAAGATTTCTGGATATTTAAAAGTTTTTAAAAGCAGGAAAGGAGAAAAAAAAAGAATAAAAGGGCAGGATCTTGAAAAATGGAGGAGACTGCCTGGAACTAAGGAATAGAACTGTAACTAAAAGGAACTTACAGTGAAATTTCAACAAGATTCCTCAAAGATACATTTTAATTGAAACTTGGTAACAAAATAATAGAACCCCAGGAAGAGAAAGTGGAAAGAAGAAGCAGAAAGAAACAGCCTTGGATTATTTGGATTACTTGGTGATTTTTAGTTTTTGCATCTGGATGACTAAAATTAATCGGGTGGTTGTTTAAAAGTCTTTAAAATGGTATCACTCTTAGAAGAACTGAAAATGGAACTTTAAAAATGGAAAGAAGATGCACAAGAAGGGAGAGGTTCTTTTGGCTTCGTATTTCAATTCTTAGAAATGGAGATCTGGAACTATGAGAAACAACAAGAAACACTTGCAGAACAAGAAGATTGGGACAAAGAAGAAGCCATCTTTAATGTTCAAATAATTTTAAGTGGGGGGGAAAAAGAAAAGGGGGAAAATAGAGTGAAAGGTTTAAGACTAGAAAAAACAACCAAAGAGAAGAATAATTTGAAAGATAAGTATAATATTAGAAAGCAACAGAAGAGGGGATTACAGATGAGAGAGTTAGAAGTAGAGAGACGAGGGGGTAAAAAGGGGAGGGAGAAGAAGAGGGGGAAGAAGGCAAGGAAAAGAAGTTGTAAAAGACAGAAACAAGAAATGGAGAAACAGGGAAAAGATATAAGGATTGTAACCATAAGCTTGTTTAGAGATAATGGGTGAAAATTTAATTGCAAAAGGGATTCTGCAAAGGTACATAACATAGCATTGTTATATTATAAACAGAAATAATTTTAGAAAATATGATTAAAATGATGGATAAAATATTTACTGTAATGTAGTTGAATGTTTGGTAATAAATAAATGAATTAAAATGATTGAGAGAATTAAATGGGAACATTTTTAATTATTAGTAATGATTTATAAAAATATAAGTGAGAAATATGGGAAAAAAAGAATGAACTATGGAAAGTTTATAAGTGTTCCCAAGGAAATATGATATTTAATTGAAAAGAAATGTTAAAGATGTTAAGATTTTAATGAATATTAATTATAGAATTGAATTGGAATGGAATGTGTGCTTTATTTACATATATATATATAATTTTTTCTTTTTAAGAATATAGTCTCTATTTTAAGAATGTATCAAGCAGAATTCGATTGGAAGTTATGTATTATATTGAATGCTATAATCTTAAAGATATACATTAAAGCTTAAATAAGAGTTTGAATGGATAAAATTAAAAGATATAAAGGTGTCATACTCCAATTGGTAACTACAGGGAAAAATTTGTTTAATAAGAAAAGATAATATGAAATTGAAACAGGACAGACAAAAGTATAAATATAATGATCTGATTGAGATGAGATAATTAAAATAAAGTTGAGAAAATTAAAAGAGGGGAAAAACTATGTAGAAAATATAAAACGGTAATAAGATATGAAATAGAATATAAAAATGAGCATGAAATTGAGTTTGGTGCCTGTATGAAGAAGTGATAACCTGGGACCATGCTATTTTCAAAAAAGATGTTTTATTTGTATTTTGTTTTTGTGAAAACCCAAATAAAACTTTCAAAAAAAAGAAGAAAAAGAAGAAAGTGCAGGCGCTGTTGGGCCTTCTTTGCAGTGGCTATAAGTGTGGACTGACCAAGTAAGGTTGACAGAAATATGAGTTCCTAGAAATTTAAAACGGTGAACTCTTTCCACACAATCTCCATTGATATATAGTGGGAGAGGCTCTGCTTTGCATCTTCTGAAGTCTAAAATCAATTCTTTGGTCATTTTGATGTTCAGGGCAAGGTTATGACTCTTGCACCACAAGACCAGTCTGAGAACCTCTGACCTATAGGCTATCTCGTCTTCTCCTGATATGAGTCCCACCAACATGGTGTTGTCTGCAAATTTTATTATAAGGTGCTTTTATCATCTTCATGGCTTGGGATGAGTTTTTTAAAAAAAGTTTTATTGGATTTTTATTTTGAATATACATCAATATCAATACATGAACAGTGTGGCCTCTGGGTATAATTTATTTTAATACAAGTAGCAATAATAATATTAATAATATTTGTTACAGTAATCAAACTTATGTAATTCAAACATTAATATATATGTTTGCTTTAAAGTAGCTATTCAATATTTCAACATTCCATTTTAATGTCAATGGTAATATTATTTAAGCATACATAGTAATACCATCTTTCAACCTCTAATCTATCCATCTAGTTATTGCTTATATTCTATTATATAAAAATTATATATGCTAATATTTCCCCTATTTCTTATTTCTACTGCTGTTCTAGCTTCTAGTCAGGCCACCATTACTAATCCTAGTGTTAATACACATGTTTATATTAAGACATAGTCCTTCATTATTTGGTTGTTCAAAGTCACAATACTACCAGTTATTCTATTATTTAAATGTATCTAATAATACCATCTTTAAACCTCCAATCATTCCATCTAACCATTGCTTTATACAAAGGTGTGTATTCTTATTTCTACCTCTATTCTGTCTTAACCAGGCCATCATTATATTAGAAAAACAACAAAAAATTTCCTTCCTATCCATCATCTCTTGTCCGTTTTAAAACTTAAATTCTTATTCATTTTTTTAAGCTTGTCTCCCATACTCCTCTCTTGTATCTTTGTCTCTATCAGTATCTGTGTCTTCACCATTCAGTCTGAATATTTTTCCCATCTCTATCTTCCTAAGCTGCCAGGTCTTCAGAGTGTCTACACAGGCCACTATCTCCCTTTCAAAAGTAGCTTCCAGCTTATCCAATTCCATTTTAAAATTTCTTAAAGTACTTTTTCCTTGGTTTATTTCATCAGTCATTATTATCTTTATCATCTTCTCCTTCTCATCTCCTTGCTTTATTTGTTGATTTGTCTGTTCTATCTTTTCCCCCATTTTTCCTGTTATCTCCTCTCTTTCCTGGACTCTTTGATCTTCATTCATGTTATGTATTTTATATAGTTGTCAGTTATTCTCATTCTCACCCTCTGCTGGAGGGGGAAAATACTCTTTCCTGATGTTTCCTCATTGATGGACTGGAGATTGCAATCGTCCACAGCTTTGATCCATGCTCTCCTGTTGGAGGGCACCGATCATCTGCATTTAGGGCCAGAACCACCCTGTAGGAGTGGTGAAGAAGGGGGAGACTGCCAGCTGGGTCAAGGGGAGCAGCATTTCCCCTCCCTGGCTAGGCATTCCACTCCCCTCTGAAGACAGCTGTAGTGGTGGTCAAATATGGCCACCCTGAAGAGGAAGAACTAACCTGGACAAGATTGTGCAGGAGCAGTGAAGAAGAGGACAGCCTGAAAACTGGGCTAATTAGGAGCAACATTTAAATACAAGGTATCCCAGAATTAAAATTTTAAGGAATTTTTAAGAGAGATAATTAAAGTGGCGGCCAGAGAAAGTGACGAAAAAAAAGTTTGACAGCTGAAAGTGTCTTTGAACCTTGAAAGGAGGAACCTACAAGAAGGTATCTGCTTAAATTGGATAAATATATGATCTTGACACTATACAGGCATAATTAAAGCTGAACTTGAATGTGTCAAAGAAAAAAATAAAAAACAGTAATTGATATTTGGACTTATTGGAACTTTGAATTTTAAAAGCCCTAAATAGAGAGAAAAAGTGAGGGGGGGAAAGAGTGGAATTTGGACATACCAGAGAGTGCCATCTAGTGGTGAAAAAATTATTCGTGACTTCGTATAACCTGGTTCTTCTAAAAGTTGGATTTGATACAAAATATATTTTATCAAGTTCCATTTTAAATAGTATTTTATCAAATTTCATTTTGAATTGCTTTTATTAAATTTTAGTAACAAATTGTTGCTGGAACTTTGCACTTTGATATGGCCCAAGGGCTAATCAATAAAGACTTATTGTATATTGATATAAAATAAGTGAAATTTTGATACGATAAAATAGAGACCCTGGAAAATGAAAGTGGAATTTTGAACATTAAAACAAAGAACACACACACAAAACAGAAGTGTTTAAAAATGGCAGATCTTTTTTTGGAATTAAAAATGGAACTAAGAAATATGAAAGAAATGCTACAAGAAAGAGGCAAGTCGTTTGGTTTTGCTTTACAATTTTTAGAAATGGTGATTTTAGAATATGAAGAACAACAAGGAGTGCCAGAGGAGGAGGAGCTGACTAAAGAAGAGGCTATCTTCAATGAACAATTGGAGCAATGAATATTAAAGCGAAGGAGGAGAAGAATGGGAATTAAAAACTGGAGATTTGAGGAGGCAACCCAAAAGGGGAATATTTTGAAAACCAAACAAAGTAAAAGGAAACAGCAGAAAAGGGAATTATAGAAGGAAGCTTTAAAGGGGGAGGGGGATAAAAACTGGAGTAAGAAAAATGAAGGGAAAAAGAAGTAAAAAGAAATGGAACCAAGAAATATAGAAATATGGAAATCGAACAAAAATGAAAAGAAATTGTTTATTCAAAAGACATAGAGACAATGGTTAATTAAGAATTAAGAAAAGGGATTCTGCATGGTGATGAGGTGTATAATAAATGTATTAGTAGTAACAAATTACTTAGATAGTAGGAAAATATAGATTAAAATGAAAGATTGGAACTGATACTTTTTTGTTGTTGGAATACTTGTTTTTGTTAAACCATATATAGAGATAAATGGAATAAATGTGAAAAAAGAGAAATTATGACAAGTTTAATAACTATGTTTAAGGAATCTATAGAATATAGTTGAAATGAATTATGAGGATTGTTTAATGAGATTAATATCAGTTTCTATGATGAATTGAATAATTAATTTTTCTTTTTGAAATTATAAATGTTTTTGATTTAATTGAAGGAGAAAATGCCTTGCGGAATCTGACTTAAAAGGTATATATGTTATGTAGTTTTTAGGAGATTATTGTTATTAATTTTTAAGGTGATATTTAAAAAGTTAAATTATCACTGGGACTTAAAGGGGAACTAATTAAATGTGTCACACTCTAACTGGTAATAGGGGGAACTTTTTTGGGAAATGTTTGAACTGAGATGGAATTTTTGAAATGACAAAATAAGAATATGCAATGAAATTGCAAACCTGACAGATAAAAGTATAAAGCATAATGAATATGAAGATAGGAGAATTATTTAAAGTTAAAAGAAATAGGTTAAGAAATGAATTGAAAATCTATAAAATAAGCTTGAGGAAAGTATTTGAGAAAATTAATAGGAAATATGTAAAGTAATGATAAGATATGAACTTAAATGTGAAATGAATATGTAACCAAAGTCATGTTTGTATGGAAATGTGAAAACCTGGAATCATGCCGTTCACTAAAAAAAGATGTTTTTAAAATGTGGAAAACTGAAATAAAATATGTATGTATGTATGTATGTATGTATGTATGCATGTATGTATATGATATTTAGCTTTGTTCGGGTATTTTCCCACGTCATTATAGTTGTGCTTTTAAAGTTGTATATATATACATGCATATATAAAGAGCTTTTAGAAATCACTCTGGCCTCACCTCTATTCTTTGCCCAGGACTTAACAATTCATTATCAGTTGTAGGATATTTTCTATTTTCCCATTTATGCCTTGTAATAGGTTCTTTATCTCTCTGTGATTCTTTGTCATAGTATTCCCAATGCTTTGAAACATCAATGCCATTTCTTTTGAAATTTCACTTATTTCCCCCTGATGGAGCATCTCATCTTATTTTAGTAAGTCCCGCTCTTACTCAATAGTCCAAAAACAATATATTGAAGCATAATGTTGCTCCTCAGAAAGTTCAATAATCATAGTTCTTTACATCTCAGGGTTATTAATCAGTTCCATTTAGGTAGTCCAGGCAACTCTTCAAAAATCAAAAGTCACCTTACTTTACTTAAGAGTCTTCCTTATTCTCACAATAGAGTCCCCAATAATCATAAAGTAGATAGTTATAGAACAGTAAGTATCACCAAAGTCCTCCAGATGAATGTTATTTATTTCTCTTATCAGAAAATTGTAGGGATGTCATGCCCCTGGTGGAGACTGACTCTGAGGGAGAGGAGGAACAGCTGACAGGGAGTGGAAGTGTGGCTCCAGAGGTTGTGGAGGAGTCTGGGGAAGGGCAGAGGCTGGCTGGGCAGTCAGAGGAGGACCCAGGCCCATCCCCTCTCCATCCTAGGGCACACAGGGAGGAGAGGATAAGGGAGAGACATGGTCTATTGGGGAGGAGAGGGCCTTGATCCTCTTCATGGGCTGCAGCTGTGACAACTGGATAAGAGGATGGACATGCATACAGGCAAGTGCTGGAAACAAAGCATGGAATATCTCTAGTTTATTGTTCCTCTCTGAGTTTGACGTCCTTCCCAGTGTGTGTTCTGATATCTGTGGATGTCTTCAAGCCCTTATCTTGCCTGGTTTGTGTTGTTTTTTACTTTTTATAATTTAAATGGCATTTCCTCCTTCTTGTAACTGCTTGTGTGGGAGTTTTGTTTATCTCCAGTCAAGGATATTTGGAGCTTGGAAGCAAAGTGAAGAAATAAAAGGGGCTTCACCTGTTTTTTTGTGACTGTGTTTATTTTGTATCCCACCCTGGGTCATCACAAGGGGCATAGTATATTTTCCATTCACCAGTATATGGCACCCTCAGCTTAGGTTTCAGCATTGTTTCAAGTCTGACAGATTGATTAATCCAATTTTAATTCCATTTATGGAAGCAAAATCAGCTATTCAAGTGGAAAGTTCGAGCATTTTATAATGCCTTTCCAAAACAACACCTACCCAGTTTGAAAGTCCAATTTCCTATGTTTTTAAAAGTCTTTAGCTTTTCTCCCCTTAGTTCCTTTCCTTTGAGTCTAGGATTTTTCTCTCTATGATTTAACAAGTAGTTCTAAGAATTTGTTTTTTTGGATTTTCTTCTTTTTCTTTTAAAGTTAGGGTCTAAATAGAAAAGGAATCTTCTCACCCAGCTCCAATCACTGTTCATCTACACCGCTCCTGCACATTTCTTTGTTGCCTCAGCTGTCCCAGCTTCATGGCAGCCATGATGGCTGTCTCTTCTCCTCATCATGGATGAGAGAGAAGAAGCCCTGAGTCGAGCAGAAGAGTTGCTGCTTTCCACAACCTGCAGGGCGCCACTCTTTTCTTTTCCGCACCACACCTACAGGGGATGAAGGGTTATTTATTTGAGAAGGCAGCACTCAGATAGAGATTGTGCGAAGTACCGATAGACATATATGAATATATACAGGCTTAAATTAGTTGATTTAGCCTTAAGACTGAAACATAATACATGATGAATATATTTGTTTTTCAGGATGGCAAGATGATAGATATTGTAAGAGGAGCAAATGGACCTCTTCTAAATAGAAAAGTAATAGAACTAATTGAACTAGAAAGAAAAATTGTAGCTGGAGACATGCAAAGACCAGAGGTAACTCTTCTTATTTGGCTGTTTTATTTTACACACACACACACAAATGTTTCTCCTCAAATTTGGGCCCTTTACCAGAAGCCTGCAAATTTAAAGGTTTTGTGCAGTATTTTAGCTATTTCAAACACTGTACTCTTCTGGACACAGAATTGTCATGTTGTTCTTGGGTTCTCAATTTAGGAGTCACAGCCTCAAGTGCTCCTACTGTAACTGGGACCATTTTATACTTTACTGGGAGTATCAATTATATGCCAAACTAGAGAAATGCCAATTTTATCAATTGACCACCGACTTCCTAGGACATGTCATTTCTACTGAGGGCATTGCTATGGAGCTGAGAAAGGTTGAGTTCCTGCATAATTAGCAATTCTCATGTCAAGTCAAGGATGTCCAGTGACTCCTTGGGTTTGCCAACTGCTATATGACTTTTATCTCCAGCTTTTCTTCCCTGACTGCACCCCTCACTCAGCATCTTCAGAAGAAGACCCTGTTTCAATACAGCACCCCAGAGCAATAAGCTTTCCAGGCCTTGAAACAAGCCTTTATGTAGAAACCCATCCTGAAACACCCTGACCTCCACTATCAATTTATCATGGAAGACGATGTGTCTGACATTGCCATTGGAATGGTGTCACTGCAGGCTGACACTCCCGGTAGTACCCTTTTCCCTTGAGCATATTACTCATGGACACTCAATCCAGCCAAGCACAATTACACCATCTGAGAGAAGGAGTTACTAGCCATTAAGGTGGTATTTGAGACCTGGAGACATCATGTGGGGGGATCGGCATCAGATTGAAGTCTGGACGCACCATAAAAATCTAGAATTCCTGCAGACCACCCAGAAATTGAACTAATGGCAGATTTGTTGTCTCTATACTTTGCCAGATTCAATTTTGCATGGTGTATATTTATTTGTTTATTATTTGTTTATTTATTTTGTCAAATGCTTACAATATAATAGAAATAAGAATAAACATAAGTTTAAATACATGAAATAGGAACTAATAATTGGGGACAATAGGACAGGGACGGTAGGCATGATTGTGCGCTTATGCCGACCCTTACAGACCTCTTAGGAATGGAGTGAGGTCAATAGAGGTTAGTTTGAGGGTAAAGGAGTGGGGGTTTGAGCATGTGACAACAGAATTAGGTAGTGGGTTCCAGTCATTGACCACTCTGTTGCTGAAATTGTACTTCCTGCAATCAAGTTTGGAGTGGTTTACATTTAGTTTATATCTGTTGTGTGCTCTTGTGTTGTTGTGGTTAAAGCTGAAATATTCATTAACTGGTAAGACATTGTAACATAGGATTTTATGTATTATGCTTAAGTCCAATCTTAGCCGGAGTAGTTCAAGGTTGTCTAACCTTAGAATCTGGTGGTGTAGGATATTCTGTTGTGAACAGAGGAGTGTAGTACTCTTCTTGTAAAATACTTCTGGACTCACTCAATTGTATTAATGTCTGATATTCAGTGTGGATTCCAGACAGTGGAGCTGTATTCAAGTATTGGTCTAGCAAAGGTTGTGTATGCCCTAGTTTGTAAATCAGTATTACCAGAGAAGTTTCATAAGATCAGATTGACAACTCTTAAAGCCTTTTTTGCAATGTTGTTGCAGTGAGCTCTGGTGCTTAGGTCATTCGATATGAGAACTCCAAGGTCTTTGACAGAGTGAGGGTTGTCAGTGAGGTCATATCCACCTAGCTTGTATTTGGTGTATTGATTTTTTTTTACCAATGTGTAGGACAGAGCATTTGTTAGTTGAGATTTGGAGTTTCCAACTGTTTGACCATTCAGACACATAATCAAGGTCGCTTTGAAGGATGGTAGCATTGTTTTGAATAGTTTTACATCATCAGTGAAGAGAATGCAATTACTTATAAGGTAATCACAAATGTCATTTATATAGAGTGTAAAGAGTGTGGGTTGTAGAACACTCCCTTGGGGGACACCACTGTTAACTGGTGCAGGGTTTGATAAGGCATTTCCTATTTTTACAAATTGTTGCCTGCTTGACAGGAAGGCAGTAATCCACTTATGGAGGGATCCAGAAATGCCATAAGTTTTTAATTTTAATAGTAGTTTGTCATGTACCACTGAGTCAAAGGCTTTGCAGAAGTCTGTGTAAATTACATCTATTGCTTTGCCCTGGTCAAGTAATATAGTCCATATGTTTTTGCAGTGTAGAAGTTGAAAATTGCAGGACAATTTTTTCTGAAACCAAATTGTTTGTTGGAGAATAGGTTGTTTGACTATAGGTGGAAGGTAATGCATTGCTTAATAATTGATTCCATAACTTTGCACGTGACACAACACTATGAGATTGGTCTATAGTTTTCAACCAGGCAGGGGTCACCTTTTTTGAAGATAGGGATGACCGTTGCTAAAGACCATCGGTTTGGTAATGAGCTGGTTCTGAATGATATCTCATATATTATGCTTAGGGGTTCTGCTATGGCAGTGGAGAGCTTTTTTAAGAAGTTTCCACATAAGCCATTAGGGCCAATAGATAAGGATGGTTTTAAGTGCATTTTCTACATTATCTTCATTAAAGTAAATATCATTGCAGATAGTTGTGGTACGAGTAGGAAATGTGGGGCACGAGCCATTACTGTTTACAAAGACTGAACTGAAGAATGTGTTGAAGAGGTTTGCCTTAATGGCTTCATCACTATAGTCTTTCCCATTTGGTCCTTTTAGGGTTGGAATGGTTTTTGAGTCTTTAAGTTTGGTGTTTACAAAGTTATAGAAGGCGTGGGTGGATTTTGTGCGTAGAAGGTTTTCCTCTTGCTTGCAGTGATAATTGGTGCATTCTGCCTTTATCTGTTGGCATAAGGTGTTGTATCAGTTTTTAAAGTTAGTTACATATTTAGTTTTGTATTCACACCATAAGGATTTTTTTTAGATTGAAGTTTTCTTATTATTTTGGGTAAATTGTTTTTTTGTTTTTGGGGGTTACTAATGGAACATATAGGTTAATGACTCTTTCAAGTTCAAGCAAGAAAGTGTTATAAAGTTCTTCTGTAGTATTACAGCCAGAGAACAGAATGTGCCAATCAAGA